CCTCCTTCACTTATCTAGCAAGCATCCTTTCAACTACAGGTGGATCGGATGAAGATATCATAGCCAGTCAGAATCGGAAAGTCAACCTGAAACCAGTTTGGAAATCTTCTGCATTGCACTCAGCATAAGGAACAAGATGCACATTTTAACGCCGACCAATGTCAAGTCGGTCAAAAACTTGGCCAGTATGTCGTGAAAAGGATTTCCAACAACTTGTGGCAGAATTCCTTGAACAAATGCCTACGCTGGCTCCATACTGAAGATGAAATAGAGGGCAAGAAAGAATTAGCAACAAGAAACTCTGGCTAGGAACAAACCAACCAAGAGCCGATCGCTCAACAAATATATAGGAGAAAGTGGAGATGGATCGGGCATACATTGAGGAAGCCGCCGAATGACATCGCACATCAGACCCTTGAGTGGAATCCCAATGGGAAGCGACGAGTGGGTCGTCCTACGGTGACATGGAGGAAATCATGTGAAGAAGAGATGAGAGAGTTTGGTCAATCGTGGACCCAAATGAAGAGGACGACAGAAAACAGAACAAAGTGTAGGCGTGTTGTTGAAGCCCTATGTTCCACTCGGAACGCAAAGGAATAATAATAAACAACCACTGGGTTTCCTTTAGATTGAAAACTGTTCTTATGATCTTACCAAGCAGTTTGTAACAGCACATAAAATGACTGGTAAAGTTAATCAGAAGTATTCGCTCCGATACATTTATGTAATTATATGTGACCCAGTATACTATAAAAATATAGTAGGCATCTAGCGTAACGATGAACTCAAAGAGTATTAGGCATTTTTAAGAATCAAAGTTAAATGATGCTATCGAAAAGTGTTTGGTTTGGAGGAAGTGAGTGGAATTGTGACTCAATAGATTCAGCACAAATTTGTTTGTGCGATATACACTGGTATGTACTGAGTTTTAGGACAGTAAAACACACAAAGTTTAAATTTTTCGTCCAGCATGTAACTATGTGATCGCAAAATGAAATAAATCAATAATATTTAATACATTTGTACCAAAAATACTGTTTGGAACAGAGCTATTGTTACATTACTAAGCATCAACACTGACGACAGTAGCGTGGCGTTTTCTTCAATAGAATGTGTTAAAGTATATCCACCTTAAAATGTTATATCTTACTTTTAAAGAGTACTTGTCTTATGATTAAGAAGATGCTTCCCTACCATTCCCCCCAAAACGCAAAGATAACTGAAGTGAAATTAATTTAAAAGGATACTATGGTTACCCGGTGAAATGAACGAAAATGGTGAACTCTTCTCAGACTTCTGCGCCTTCAATGATTTGATGATTGGTGGCAGTGTGTTCAAACACAGGGATATACACAAGGCAACATGGATTTCACCAGATGGACACACCAAAAACCAGATAGACTTCATTTCAATCTCAAGCAAGTGGAGACGGAGCCTACTGGACACAAGATCGAGGAGAGGAGCAGATGTGGGTTCAGACCACTATCTGGTACAAGGGACTTTCAAGGTGAAGCTGAAAGCCTCGAGGATACCTGGGGATAGGCCACAATGCAAGTTCAACACTCACAAACTGAAGGACACAATCACACAGGACATTTTCACTGCAACTGTCAGAGCAAAGCAGGAAACACTACGTGGCACCACTGAGGAATCATCCGTGGAAGACCATTGGAACTCTCTGAAGGTAATTTTCAACGAAACGTGCTCAACGGTTTTAGGAAGAAAGAAGAAACAAGACAAGGAATGGCTCTCAACAGACACTTGGAAACTAATAGAGGAGAGGAGAAAAGTGAAAGAGAAAATGATTCAATGCAAAGATGGACAAGAGAAAGAGACGCTGAACTCAACTTACACAGCACTGGACAAAGAAGTGAAGAAGAGTGCCAGGAAGGACAAAAGACAATTCTACGACAACCTGGCTACTGAAGCTGAGAAGGCAGCAGGCAAAAGGGACCTGAGGACACTATATCAGATAACCAAGTCTCTAACCGGGAAGAGATCAACACAAGTGAAACCTATAAAAGACAGCCAAGGGAACCCAATTACCAAAGAAGAAAGACAGATTAAACAATGGGCGGAACACTTCAAAGGACTCTTGAACCGACCACCACCTACAACCCGTCCAGTAATACCAACAACAGCACGTACACAACTGCAAGTTGACACCAATCCTCCAACGAAAACTGAAGTCATGAATGCAATCAAGCTTCTGAAAGCTGGAAAAGCAGCTGGACCAGATGGAATACCCCCGGAAGCACTGAAAGCGGACCCAGAGACGACGGCAGATATGCTGACTCCATTATTGCAAAAGATCTGGAAAGAGGGAAAGGTGCCTACTGACTGGAGGAAAGGTTACCTGGTGAAACTACCAAAGAAGGGCGACCTGGGACTCTGCAAGAACTGGCGAGGAATCATGCTCCTGTCGACACCAAGTAAAATCCTGAGTCGCATCATCCTGGAGAGAATCAAGGACGCGCTGGATACAGAACTCCGACCAGAACAAGCTGGATTCAGGAAAGGCAAATCATGTTCTGACCAAATTGCAACTCTACGCATTATCATCGAACAAAGCATGGAATGGCAATCAAATCTCTACCTCAACTTCATAGACTTTGAGAAGGCCTTCGACAGCGTTGACCGCGAAGTAATTTGGAAACTACTCGAGTACTACGGCGTACCGCAAATATTCATCAACCTTATTCAACAACTGTACGACAACGGCACATGTCAAGTGATCCACAACGGAAAACTCAGCGAGGCGTTTGGAGTAAACACAGGAGTCAGACAAGGGTGCTAATTATCACCAATGATATTCCTAATTGTGGTGGACTGGATTATGCGTCAGACAGTGGGAAACGAGAAGACAGGGATATCCTGGACCGACGTGAAGAACCTAGAAGACCTGAATTTCGCGCGTGGATGATTTATGTTTGATGTCACACAAAATCGAGGACTTACAAGCGAAACCGACAAACTGGTCGAAGAAGCAGCAAAGACAGGACTCCAGGTGAACATAGACAAGACGGAGGTTATGAAAATAACCAACCAACAACAGCAGCAACATCCAGTGCCAATCACCATCAACGGGAGGGATTTGAAAGAGGTTACTTCTTTCACTTATCCGGGGAGCATTGTCTCAACCACAGGAGGAACGGATGAGGATGTCAAATCGAGAATCGGGAAGGCGAGAAACACATTCATCAACCTGAAACCAATCTGGAAATCTTCGTCACTCACCATCAACAACAAAATGATTCGGATTTTCAATACAAACGTCAAGTCAATTTTGCTTTACGGATCAGAAACTTGGCGGGTCACCAAGAATATTTTCAACAGGTTGCAGACCTTTATCAACAACTGTCTTCGCTCCATACTGAAGATTAGATGGCCAGAAAGAATCACGAACAAGAAGCTATGGGAACAAACGAAACAGGAACCAATCGCCCAACAAATATGCAGGAGGAAGTGGAGATGGATTGGACACTCGCTGAGGAGGCCGTTGAGTGACATCGCGCGTCAAGCCCTCGAGTGGGACGTCCAAGGGTGACATGGAGGAGATCGTGTGAGGAGGAGATGAAACAGTATGGAATAACATGGACGCAAGTGAAAAGAACAGCAGAAGACAGAAGCAAGTGGAGACGTGCAGTTGAAGCCCTATGTTCCACTAGGAACCCAAGGGAACAATAATAATAATAATGGTTACCCATGAAGTTAGAGCTGCCCTGACTGATCGTAAATTGACTAACTTTTTGTTTTGGACACTGAGAAAGATGGTTTGAAATTTTAAGCGGTCTATATTAGAATTAAAAGCAAATATATTTTCAAGTATTTGTTTTGCAGGGATTTTGTTTGATTAGATGGGGGATTTTATCATGATGTCAGCTCATGGTGAAATCCTCCATCCAAGCAAATATATTCTTAATTTACGCATATATTAACTGACATTTTTCGCCTTAAGCTATTTTTGGGGTTTACTACCACACTGCCTTTATTTTTTGTTTTCTGTCTAAGCTCTGAAATGCGGTAGACGGGAATGCTATACAGTAATGCGAAGTATGGTGATTATAATGTTTGTTCGCCAGTCACTTATAAAACAGGATGCGGCACAGCTGTCTGTGAATTCGATATAACATGAAATGTTCAGCAGTCAACATCAAGAAAATGATAATATCGATATCAGTCCAGAAAGAATATTTGAAACAGAAGTAATTAAAATAAACGAGATTACTTAACTCTCAAGGTAGGGAAGGCAAAGAGTTCTCTAGTTTGCTGATAACCTATCGGGCACAACTTATTACTCATAACCATATCATAAATTTTATCCACAATGAAATTATACTCTACCTTGAGTGCAAAAGTTCTATTCTTGTATCAGTAGACTAGTCTAATTTATTTCGTCACCAACTACTATTATTAATTGTTGACAATCCTTAAACTAACAGCCTGCAATTCGGCTCATTGGTCAGATTAGTAGTCATGTTCGTGTTGTGTATTATTTTACAAACTATTGATTATGTAACAACTTGTTGCGGGCCTGTACAAATTTACTGATCTTGAATTCCATGATTATTATCATCCCTCATATACCTCAAGATTTATGTTTCGTGTTAACTAAAAATCTGTTGCTAACTTCTACTAATTAACTTTTGAACTTTGTAATGAGTTATTTTCAACCCTTTCTAGACCATAAAACTGATAATTCTTATCGGCTTACATCAACATATGATTGGACCAATTTTGATGTAAAACTATATATATTAGTGTGGTGCCGTTGATAAGGAACCAGCTAAAAAGCAATATATTTCTCCTCCCAATTAGCTGTTTTACTAAATATGTAAGTGGGAATTCTTAAATTGTGCATTGCAGCTAGTAGTTGTTAAAAATACAACAGAAAATGAATAAATGGGGTAGAAGTAAATTGATGGTACTGAAATTAAGTCAGTGGTTATAACCACTTAACGGGGACTGTTATAATAGTGTTTTATGTGTTCTATACTTACCCGAATGCCACGTAAAGATTGTCCATCCATTTTGCCGGTGCCAGTGTTATAAAAAACTGTGAACTGTTTGTGTGACGTCCAGAGTTCGCCATACTGAGAATACCACGTCGATCGTGCTTAATGATATAGTTTTCATCTTGAAATAAGTCGAAAACGTATATTATATTTCTGTTACATGTTTACAGATGGTTAGTTAAAGAACAATGTTTATTATCAACGGCAGAAACTAAAAGTAAGCTGTCTCTTTCTTTTACCTCTGCAGCACCATTTCACCTATAGGCGACACGGATGAGTATGTTGAAGGTAGCCAGAATTGGAGAAGGAAGACAAGAGTTAATTACTTTGAAATCGGTGTGGAGATCCACACCACATATCACAAAGAACAAGATCAGAATTTATAACACTAAATTCAAGACAGTGATTTTTCTCCGTTGAGAGATTTGGTGTGAGCTTTACCAAAGTCGTTTCCATCAGGCCTCAGACTTTCTCTATTGGCTTCCTCCGTTCAGTACTAAAGATCGGATGGCCGGAAGGGATCAATAAGCAAAAAGTAACTCCGGTAGCAGACCTATTGTTTAACAAATATAAGGAAGCAAATGCAGATAAATTCAAGGGAATTAACAAGCCAAGCCCTCGAATGAAACCCGAAGATGAAGTGACGGCTTGGGTGTCCATGGATGCCACAGAAGAGGTCACGCGAACAGAAAACGAAAGCTTACGGGCGGTCGTGAAGCCATGTGAAAATGCGGAGGAGTACAGCGATGTGCATTGGATGAAGGAACGAATAACAGTAACAATAACAGTAACGATCTCTTTATCTTTTACATGAATCAGTGAGGTTTATTAGGAATTTAACGAACTTTTTACGTTAAACCCATGAATATAGTTATTATTTACCTATGATTTAAGTGTTATGAAGACAGAACTCTTCTCTTTGAAGTTTAATTGGAGTTACAGTTCACCTAATAAGTTTAAACCAGTAGGAGGAGAAATTCGCGGGATATCTGTACTTAATGTTTCCCAAAAAGAGGTGTAATAAAACGCAGCGGTAGCAAGATATCATCAAATTATTTTATAGACTTTATAGCCGAAAAAACAAAATATTAGTGTGATATAGTATTCTTGAAGCAGAAATGAAAATAGTTCGCTATCATATTGATGGAATGCAAGTGTTCAGATGATGAAAATATTTCCCTGTGGAAGAAACCAAATTGTAGTGGTGGTTTTAAGTGTCCTATTTATTTATTTTAGAGTAACTTGTGCGTTAAAATATTCATGAATGATTACTGCAGATATGTATACACTTTATTTAACAGGTTTGCTGACTCACTTAACCCTTGATATTTCTTTCCTCCCACATGTACATTTCCAGTCTTAATTATGCAATGTATTAAATTAACATTAAGTATTCACACAGTGAAATGCTGAGTAAACAAAAGCCTGTGATAAGCTGAGCAAATAAACCACGTCATGAAGTATAAGGTTAACTCTGAATCCTTTCGACAAATGAGCCATAACAAGTTGATAAAATGGTGAAGAATTGAACGCCATATAAATATATATATATATAACTTTATTCCTTCACGTTCCAAGCGGAACATAGGGCTTCAAGCTAGAGGCTTGAGGTTTCTATAGCAGTAGTGTTTATTTTTACAGGATGGGGTTGCTAGCCCCATCCCCAACACTTTCTCTTTACCAGATTTATTAGTGGCGTAGAGGGGTAAAGCAGTGCGTCGGCCGTGGATCGAACCCCGGACCGTGTGCATCGTAGGCAAGCGTCCTAACCGCTGTGCCACCGACGCACATATATATTTTTGTAAGTAATTGATAAACTTGCTAAAAAGACCAATGCGTACGTGAGAAAAAGTTCGAAAAAGTCATGCTTCGATTCTCTTAGCACCACAGGATCATTTTATAAACAGAATACTGAATGAAAATAAAGTACCTTCAAACACTGGACCATATATTGAATGCCCATCATTTCCTCTGTTGTATAACGTGTCTAGGAAGAATGAAACATTCTTATTGTTTTACCTCCCCCTTGAATCCATCCATTTTTTACAAGTCTGAAAAATTTCGTTCCTTTGTAATGCATTTTATATTTCTCTACCTCATTCTTTCTAGCCATTCCATATTCACCAGTACACAATGCTCTGAAGTTCTCACAAGTCTTTGGCAGAAGATCTGAATATAACTGATTCATTTACATTTCATCTAACAGTCTTACTTCGAAAAGAAGAGTACCACACCTTTCTCCATCAATAGATATCAACATAGACACAAATATTCTCTACAAGTTTATAGAATGAATAAATACGCTAATTTTGTCTATACATTGAGGTCAAATAGTGTGTTTTGATATGCATCTGCTGCCAATGTACTATATAAAGCCATCGGGCGGTAATCAAGATACCCAAATTCTTTCTCTGCCCAATTATATAATTCTACATCTGAACCATGTGCAACTCCATCTATGAAAACTAAAACATCTTTTGCATAGTTCCAATATGTGCCCGCAAGTTCCTAAGCCAAGTAACCATAGACTGCAGTATACCTTTTTCTTTTCTTTCATGAACTCTGCCCACTCGAATTCGAACATTTCATGTACTTTGGGCTTTTCAAATGCATCCGGATGTGCATCGTACAAATCCTTGGAAGATTATTTAAATATGATATACCTACAAGTGCAAAAGTTCTTGCTTTTTGAAAGCTTTCTTTTTGAATCAAACCATAAACATCTAGAATCATGTTTATTTTTAAAAATGATTATATAACGCTTGTCCATAGTTGCGACGATCTTGGTTTAAAAAAACAAATGTTCAAATTTTTTCAACAGTAGAAATTCAAGACATTTTCGATTACGCTGCTTTATGGTAAGGCTGCATATGAAGTAAAAATGCCTCTATTAATCTTTTCAATATTCTGTAGGCTTGAGGACAACGCATCCTTCGCGGGTTATTTAGAAGGTACCAAAAATGAAAACTATAGCTAAATATTTCAGTATAACATTATTCGTCGTCTGAGATGTATCTTTAAACAAAGAATCCTATGACATCTTCATTGTTATATTGATATTTTGAAATGTCAGTCTTCATTATAGGAAATGTAGTAAACAATATACTTTCTATGAACTGCTGTAGAATGTATTAATTTTTTCGACTCACTGCTGCTGCTACTCGAGTACTATAGCTTTGATTGTTTCATGATGTGTGACTCAGAGATTGGTTATATTTGGTTTCCATTTGTCGCTGCATGATTTTCCACGGGCAACTAAAACAACAGATGCTGCTGAATGTTTCGAGATTCAGCAGACTCGAACAGTGGTGTAACGTACTTCAAGGTGCAGTTGAACATATGTTTTATGCTGTACTAGGAGTAGCTCATAAGTGATAATGCCCAACTGTCTATGTTTAAAGAATGTAACTTCACATGGCCAAACAATATCACCTAGGGAAATCATGCTTGTGCCTAGTTTTTCCGTCATAATGAGAACTAAGTCTCAGTTTGGCATTTGGCGGGAGAAGTTACCATCAAACAGTTAGTAAATCGCTCTTCTTGGGGTTATGTAGTCACATCAATTTGCACTTTCTTAGGCTGAAAGATGTTACGTCGAATTACACTCGGTATTCCGAGGTATTCAGGCCAGCTTGCAAACTGTTAGCATCTTTCAGAAACTCTTGCTACCTCTAAACATCATCGGTGTAACTAAGAGACTGACAGTCTCGACGACAGGGCATATCACCGAAGAAAATCGAAACCATGACGTGCTTCTGCGTGTGCCTTGTGATACTCCCGAAAATAGGTTGGTCGGACGTGACTGCTTACAGTGGAGATTCTTAACACCGCCTCGACGGGAGAAGGGAAAATAAGACCCTTACGGCTGTCTTAGCGACGATAGGAATAGATTATAGAAACACACAACCACAACTCAATGTCACCGCCGGTCTCTTGTTCCTTGAAATTTATGTAAACCACCACATGTTTCACTTCACACTGACAAACAAATTGGTCGTTGATAGTGAAGCGGTTGAGGTTTAGTTGGCCTGAAAAACTTCTTTAATCCCCTATACGTTCATATCCCGACATGACGACAACTTAATTCATGTTTTCCTTCATGCTGGTCTACGACTCATACTTTTTGTCTGTCACCACCTTTAAAGAAGGGAGAAATGATGGCTATTTTTCACACCTCTGGCTGTTTTCTTGAGTCCGTGGAGTGTTTGCATATGTCACTTAGTGGCATTATAGAGCTTCTTAGTGAAGATTTATGGTAGACAGTCGAATATCTCCACAATATGGTGACTTTACAGAAGTGTTTTTGCAGCTTCTCTAGTTCATGTGGTTACATGGGTTGTAATCACCAGGCTTCCACCTATCAACTGATCAGTTCTACCCTTATGATTTACAGCAGTAATACTTAAAGTGCTAATCAGTTACCTGTCGAAGGTTACAATAAGTGTTTCAGGCATTTCAAGACTAATAAGATCTTGACCAACTGAACCTCCAAAGTTGCCTGAATGAACTGCCGTAAGCTCTCCGGGTTTGTCCGAAGTACTCCTGTAAAACATGCGCAAAATGACTTCATGTCACTCCTCTCCGTCGTGCTGCATCGGTTTCAGAGTTACAGGTATAATAATAATAGTATATTCTCATTTTTGTACATGAGGGACGCCAGTTTACAGGCATCATCAATTCGATAAATTACACATGCGATTAGTAAGTATAGTTAGTAATGATACTATAATAAGGTACGTATTTATTCCTACCAATATAGGACATACAAGTTGTATAGGCATGGATAAGTATTATTTAAGTTACATATTTAGATTACATGGATTACGGTTAAATAACATGGTTGCTGTCATTTTATCTTTATTTTGTGGAAAAATCGGATAACTGGTGATTCAATGGAACACATCAAGAAATATAGAGATACTGACTTCGCATTAACAAAAAATCCCAAGTATGCGTTGGATGGATTACAGATACTTAGGAAAATAAATAAAGCTTGAAGTCAATTCCCTCATAAAACAATAAAATGCGTCTTACAGTAATATATTCCCCCTTTATGCACATGAGGGACTCCAGGTGACAGGCATCATCAATATGATAATATGCGCACAAGGAGTAAATATGTTTAAAATTTTTCACTAACACAGGATATATATACAAGTGAAGATAATGGAATATTGACCGTAAGTACGCTATGCATAAGTTAAAACAGTTTATGTGGCATAATCCTAGGCACAATTATTGTTTGAATTTGTTGAACATGAACGCAACAACTGAGTTTTGCGTTACATTCGGTCGATATGGTAAGCAACTCACAAAAGTATAAAAATGGCCTAAAAAACGTTAGTTAGTTTACCGTAAACGATGTTTTAAGCAATATAATCTGTAAAAGGCTCATCACAGCAGTTATTATCCAGTTAAACATGCAGAGAAGTAATTATAATTCAGCAACTGGTGAATTTTTTATTCTTTTCGGTCTGGAACCTGAGTAACTGCGAAGCAATCCATACAAAATGTCGAAAGAGGCATGCAGGAGCAGAATTTCGCCATCGAATGAGTCAGTGGGATCTGAAATGCAGCTGTCAGCATATTTTCGTTATTTCATAGATATCCAGGTTTATTGGCGCTGTATAGGTAGTGATTTGGATTTGTCATCATGATCGTCATATGGATGAATATTCAAATATGTACTACAACTTGTTTGCCTTTCGGATTTAGTTAATTACATCGCGTGTTTGGTTTGATTACTCTGCGATTTTGATATATTCCGCAGTGTCGTGATGTCGCCGTGATGACGGGATGCATGCATATGCTTTAAGTGTATTACTTTGTTGGCTGCTATCTCCACTGAGTGTATACAACGGGAACTGTGGATTTATGTATTTCCTCATCACTGTGGATAAAATATCGCCGCATTCCTTTTGGAAAGGAGACCAGTTGGTGGATTATAAATGATGTCCAAGTAACTTATATCCTTCCATGTGATGTTGTGGTAAGTCTGGACCTTGTTTTCTCATATTTCATTCGTATGTTGATTATGGTTCACGCTTTGTATCAGGTAGACATAATTCGATCGACTCTTATTTGTATGGGTGTTATTTTCATGACTGCTGCTTTTTTGTCTGAAATTATAGATAAAGGCAAAAGAAACAACAGGTGTAGTCTCTAAGTTCATACATTAAATGGGCCTATAATTTCTGAAGCTCTTACATGGGAATTAGCACTGGTATCACTTGCAAACCCACTTAGTGTGTCATTAAGTGCCTTTTCAAAGGACACCAGTGAGCTTGCTAGTCGCATTTCCTCAGGTAGTTTGTTCCATATTTGGGCATACCTAATCATGAAAAACTTGCCTGGTGGCTGTTTTACATTGTTCTATAGCCACCGTACCTTTAGTGTGTCTAAGGTTATATCCAGTGTCTTCTGAAAACCGAGTACAATTAGTAGGGGTATACACTATGTGGTTAAGAAGCTTATAGAAGAGTACCAGATTTAGTCGCAGTCGTCTTAACCATAATGTTTCTAGTCCTAGAATTTCACATCTAGTAGAGTAGTTTGTGCCGTTTTCGGTTCCGAGTACTTTTAGCGTGAAGTACCTCTTTACTCCTTCTACTTTTAGTTTGTCTTCTATGCGTATACTACTATACATGAATGAACAATAGTCTAGGAGTGGGCGGACACAAATCTTGTACAGTAGTATTCTGGATTCACTTCTGTAGAAGTTCCTGAGTAGGAAACCAATAAGCCTGCGTGATTTCGATACTTGTTTCGAGATATGTTCAGAAAATGATAGATTGTGTGAATATTTCAGTCCTAGGTCTAGCACAGATTTGAGTCTGGGGACTTTGTGGCCCTGAATTGCTAGGTCGAGTTCTAGGTTGGGACAGCCTATGCAGAGCCAGCCACACTTTTCGACATTAAACTCAAGTCTCCAGGTGTCACACCATATATCCATTTTTGTTAATTCTTCATGTATGGAGTTCATAGTTGTACCGATATCTGTATTTGTGCAGGTATATGCCACCTTTAAGTCATCTGCATACAGTATTGGCTTGCCTATACTAAAGCAGTCACATATACTGTTTATGTATATAATGAAAAGAAGGGGTCCCAGTACACTCCCCTGGATAACACCACTGCTAATCGGCCTAGGCCTGGAGGTCATCGAGGCAATTTTTGTTGTCTGATTTCTGTCACTGAGAAATGATTTTATCCAGTTGTGGAGGGGGTTGCGTATCCCTAGTGAGCATAGCCTGCTGACTAACAGACTATGTGGGACTCTGTCGAAGGCTTTCCTGATATCGAAATAGAGGATAATTACTAGTTCTCTCCTATCTCTTCTGTAGGTGACTTCGTTGAAAAAGTCTATATGGCAAGTGACGCAAGATCTTTTCTTAAGGAATCCGTGTTGTGACTGGTTGATGAGTTTGTGTTTTAGAAAGTAGTCTGACATTTGGTCTTTGATTACTTTCTCCATGATCTTTGATATGACAGGTGTTATATTGATAGGCCTATAATTACATGCACTAGTTTTGGCCCCTCCTTTATGCTTAGGTAGTATATACGTGTTTTTCCAAGTTTCAGGGTAGGTCCCAGTCACTAGTGAGAGGGTGAATATTCTAAGTAATAGTACTATCATATCCGAGCCACCGTTTTTGTAAATGATAGATGGTATATCATCTATCCCACAACTACCGTTAGCTTTTAATGTCTTTACCGCTGATGCTATATTTTGTATATTAAATTTGATTTCAC